ATATATGTATATATGAAACTATTAACATTTTTTATTATGCTCTAATTTTATATATTACTAGTTTGATTTTTGCTTTTTATATTTCCACAGAAAAAGACGAATTTAACTTTAGTATCTCTTTATATTTAAACATCTCTTTATTTTTAATATATTATAAGAATATAAATAATAATTATCTATAACAATAAGATTTAATTTCGAATCTTTATTTTGTATTAAAATTATTTTTATTGAATAAACATTAATAAATTTTATTTCCTATTTTTTTATCTATTTTCGTACCTATACGGGTACAATTTTAAGTATAGTAGTATACAGCATAGTAGTACATAGAAAGAATGGTTTTGATAAAATATCTAAAAATTAAGCTAAATAAATAAAAGGACCTAAAGTATCGAAATTTTGTATATATAGCTTTGCTTTTTTACAGTCTATATTATGTTTAAATTTTCTATATAAAATTATTTTGATGGTACAACGTAATTATTTTCAAATCTGTATCTATCTAAATTTTTAGATATTTCAGCAAAATTTTTGAAATGCAAATTTTTTCCGTATCAAAGTCATAAATAATAAAAATAAATCCAAGATTAAATATTTGTCACAATGTTTTATAATTTTTTCATTTTAAGGCAATGAATCCATGAAGTTATATTCGATATTCACTCGTGTGATACGATTGTAACAATGTTGACATATAAACATATATCTAATACAATTTTCAAGATTCATTACCTCATTAGTAAAATATTTTATCACTCACCAATCAATGCGTACTAATAGTTATCGACCATACAGCTATGATGATTCTGTAACATACAAGGATGAATTATAAATTAAAATAACGCTTAAAATAATCAATGATTTATAAGATATTTCTTATGCTCACAGAATTTTTTATTCACTTTTCAATCAAATATTAAAATAGTTGTTCATTGTTCAAAAAATATCTTCATCAAAATAAACTTTTTTAATATTTTAGATTAATTGTTTTCTGTAATTATTTTTAATTTGAAATAAAATAATCCGAATAAACGAGAGAGAAGGGCTAATTTTATTGTAAGTAAACAATAATGCTTACCACAAAGTTGCTCCACCGACAACCAATGCTTTTTCTACATTTCCTCCTCCTTTCAGATTTTGAAATTTCTTCTTTTACCTCCATGAGTTAACGGATCCTCTAATTAGGTTGCACTCACACATAATACGGAATAGCGAAATTGTAGTATCTTCTTACAACACTAATCTGTAATATAAATATATTCAAATAAAAATAATGTCTAAAATAAATATATTGAAGAACAATTTTATTGATCAAGTTTATATATACAAGTATTTCTCTCTCTCTCTCTCTCTTAGTTGTGATTTAAAATCGATCTTTTTGATATAAAATTTAGTTAAAAAATGAATTCTATATTAATTATAAATATCTTAAATATTTTGAAATATTTATAAATATTTGTTCACAATTATAAATAAAAAATAATATAAAAAATCTTATTTACTTGATTTTTGATATATTATATACAGTACGCAATTACATAAATCTAAAATGCTGTACTAGACATATAAGTAATTATATTCACCAATAGTAAATAATAAAATTAATTAATTATGAAATGCTCACCTCA